TCCTGTTTGGATCAACTAAGGTAAATTCTCTCTTACTTTCTTTTTGCCAGTAAACATGAAGAGCTTGAAGGGGCGATTGATGTCTTTTTTTTTAACCTTCCTCCTTTCCTGCTCTGTTTATTTCCTACTGAAAAGTTAATGCTGCTTTAATAAGAAAAACTGCTGCTACTGTAAGATAATGAGAGAATGTAAGATAATGTAAGAGAACTGCTGGTGAGAGTCCAGCACAGAGCCACAAAGATGATGAAGGGAATGGAGCATCTCCCTTATGAGGAAAGGCTGAGGGAGCTGGGGCTCTTTAGCCTGGAAAAGAGGAGACTGAGGGGTGACCTAATTAATGTTTATAAATACGTGAAGGGTTAGTGTCAGGAGGATGGAGCCAGGCTCTTCTCTGTGACATCCAGTGATAGGACAAGGGGCAATGGGTTCAAGCTGGAACATAGGAGGTTCCACTTGAATATGAGAAAAAACTTCTTCATGGTGAGGGTGACACAGAGCACTGGAACAGGCTGCCCAGAGAGGTTGTGGAGTCTCCTTCTCTGGAGACATTCAAAGCCCGCCTGGATGCGTTCCTGTGTGATCTGATCTAGGTGTTCCTTCTCTGGCAGGGAGATTGGGAAGAATGATCTTTTCAGGTCCCTTCCAATCTCTAACATTCTGTGATTCTGTGATTCTGTGAAAATGTGCTCCACCCCCACTGCGCCTGAATGCAGTGCTTGTGCATACTGCCTTTACAACTGGCATTTAACAGTAAGCAGCAGTTTTGGGTTTTGTATTAGATTAGGTACTGTGGGATAAACTTTGGAGTAATTAAAATTACCTTGCTATTTTTCACTTTAAATTTTAAACAATGTATCCTTTTTAATATCCTCATTTCTTCATGCTACTTAGAATTTCTGTAAATGGGATGAAATTTAGTCATACATAAGGCATAAAAGCCTTAAAATGCGACAAAGTTGTGCAGTGTGATAGTCCTGTGTGTTCTTGCGATGTGACATCATACATTCAAAATGAAGTTACATTCAGAGTTCAGAAAATTTAAACAGGAAAAAGCAAACAGGTATTTCAGTATTCATCTTTCTGATTAACTTTACAGTTCAGACAGAATAAGTGTTGTGTCTTCTCGACATGATCTGAATGGTGTTCTGCCACTCTGAGCACCAGAGAACTGTGTGAAGAGGGAAAACAGGGAGTGATGGAGCTTTTGTCTTTAAGTGTGTTCTTCAGCCTCTGTTGTCCTCTTCATCTGGCAACTAACTCTACACAGACAAATGCAGCAACACTTGCAAACAGCATCATATAAAAACCTTGATCCTACGACAAAGGAGAGAACTAGCTGTGAAATATTGCATGTGCTCTGGGATCTCAATTGCAGCTAGGTTTGGGGTGCAGGCCAGGCTTTGCTGGAACACTTTCTCACGAGATTGCTAGTGGGCTGATATTACATAATTACCTGACTGATAGCTGTATGTCAGTACAGTGCTTTTTTCTTTTCTTCTTTATAACTGATAATTTGGAAGAGAACATCAGAATTTTCCTGTTTCAAGTTGTTCTTTAAACAAGCAACTAGCAGTGTAAGAGAAGTTATAGTGTGTTGCTATTCACATTGCAGTGCCAATACACCTATTTGCGTTCAGTTTAATTGCTTTTTCTTTCCATTTTGGTGTGGCAGATTTATACCTATCTTTCATATCAACTTGGCCACTGTAAAAAATAATTTGTTCAGTAGAGTGGAGGTGTATAAAATTCCACTGCTCCAACATACTGCTGAGCTTTTGTTTGCCTTTCAAGAGGTGCAGTTACTGTCAGTTTTCTCAAGACTTACAGATATGTCCTCCCACCACCTTTTTTTTTTTTTTTTTTTTTTAAATTTAAAAGAGAACAGATTGAAAAACTGCTTGGTATTGATTGCAGAACCATGAAATTAAAGGCAAATGTGTAACTATACAGGCTATAGAAGGTAAAATACATTTTTAAGAATGAACATGCTATCAGAGACTATTATTCATGATCTCTAGCTTGGTTTTGTCATTCAGCAACTTTTAATTTAAGTTGGGGGGGAGCCAGTTTCAAAGAGAACTCTGTCCTGGAGGGCACAAGTCCTGCATGCTGAGAGTGGCTGGGTGGAGAAAGTCTCCTGCACCCTTGAGTATTTTGTAACCAGGAAGAGCCTTCCAGGCTCACAAGAAGTGTGCACAAGCCTTTCGGGTTTGTTCCCAGGGCTTCAGCTCTACATGGCACCTAACACTGCCATGAGCTGGAGGAGCGTGCCAGCTATCAGTGAGCAAATGAGGAGAGAGATTGACAGAGGAATTTCCCTGCCCTTTCCATGTGTGTCTTCTGTACTCAGGTGTAACAGCAGGATGTACGTTAACCCTCTATGAGAACAAGAATTTAATATGTTAAATCTGGACTTTGTCAAAATGAGAACGTGAGGAAGCAATAATGTGAGTGTCAGAATTTCAGGAGCTGCGAATCAGAATATTGGGTCATGTGTGCAGCAAGAGAAGGGCACTGCAATGTATCAGTTTATAGCTCTGGCACGTTACAATATATTAGACTTGAAAATGCTGTAACTTTGCATATTTCCTTTCTCAATTTCTCATAATCTGAGCAGCTAGCATCAGGGGAGAATTGCTGCATTTTTGGAACAACTTGGAGCCTATCTTCTCAGAAGTAAAAACACCAAATTTTAAGGAGAGAAACTGTGAAGTTAGTGGACTAAAATTGCCAATTGTTACATGCTTGACAGAAGTTAACCATGTTTTAGTTCCAGTTTTGTTACATATTGAATCAAGTTTCGAAAAGAGCGTAGCATGCATATTATGAGACTGCAGAGAACAGTAGAGTGTTTTCTTCATATTATGAGACTACAGAGAAGAGTGGAGTATTTTCTTACCAAGCTTTTCTGCATTAGTGTGTTTAAAGTTGATCAAATTTTCAGTAACCAGAAGAATTGAGAAAATGATGTGAAGCTGCCTAACTATGAAGTGAGAACTTCCTTAGAGACTTTAAAAAGTTATTTTCATTCTTGAGTTTCACACTCTTGGTTGATAATTCACATGTTTTGTTGCAGCTTCTCAACACATACATGGGATTTAGATGATCATCTTTGAAGTAGGGAAAAATCTTTTAAGTAGTGAAAATGTCATATTAGCACCATACTAAGACCTTTTTTTGAAGTGCCTTTACAAATGAAATGTTGTATAAAAGGATCTTTTGGTTTTTGTTTGTTTTTTCTTACCCTCAAGATGTTCTGCTTAATGAAATTTCTTTACTCTCTGTGGTATTAGTGATAGGAAAAGCTAGCAAAGCATTTCCCCCCGCCTTCCTATTGTGATCTTTAGGCAAGAAATGCCGTAAACAGACATATAAACTTAAATACTACCAGTAGCTTTATCAAAGCTAAAAGAGACAAGTACTTTTCCTGGGGTTTTGCTATTTAGATGGTATTACTGGAGCATTAATTTATTTATTGAAAAGCCTCTAGTCTCTTAAAATGTAAGTGGGAAAGCTTTCCAGAGGCTTTGGAGTTAGGATGGGAAAGGTGCTACTGTATTTCTGTATGTGTGTGTGTTGTAGCCAGCAGGCCTGGAAAGTACCTGGCTAGTAGTGGTTGCACCGTGCAGTAAGTTAGCATGTATGTAATGAATCAGGGACCTCATTGCTTATGTGCTTGATACATAGAGAACAGATTACGGCAGTAGTTAAGTGGGACTGTGCTGCCACAGAATGTGTGTGTATGTACATATATATTTAGTTTATGTATCCTATGGAGTCTCCAAACCACTTCATACTGTGGGGAATTGCATACAAATAATGATGCATAGTTGTGCATACATTTCATGAATGAAGATGCAGTTGTATATAGAATTATTCAGGAGTATGCATGTAAAAACTTCTGAATAATCATTATTTCACTTTCTCTGCAAGTAAAGTTTATGATAGACAGCAAAATAAATGACCAGGGTGAAATCTCACAGGAATTGTTATCGCACTTTTAGTGAAAGAAACCAGGCTGGAGATTAACCAATAAACATTATTTTAGCAAAGGAATGGTTGGAATCTGGAGCCTCAGTTCTTCCACGTGAGGAATTTTAGAGGTTTAAGGAAACAGTTTCAAACTCTACAGGTAATCTCCTGGTTTAAAGCCAACTTTATGTGGAAATGTAGGATTAGAAAGAGTGGAAGGACAATAACTTGAGTTGACCAAGTCCAGCCATTTTGCAAGTTTTCCATGTACAGACAGTTATTTGTTTGTTTCCTTAACATTTAAAAAAGCATGCATTTACTTGACAGCTGTGCAACAGGCTTGGGGTTAAATACTATTTAGACTTCGCACTGTGAATGGACTGGGTAACCTTTCCATTGAGAAATATGAAGTGTCAATAGGCATAATTCCCTAAGAAGTTTAAAGGGGCATATTGCCAGTTGTCACTTCCTAAAATAACTTCTGAAAGTTAAAAACAGATCAGAGATGGCTGCCAAAAGATTGGACACCACTTCTTGGTGTTACTTCATCTAACCAAAGCTAGAATGTAAGCCTCATGTGGATTTCTGGTATATGCAATCTTTGATGGTCACTGTAGACATAAGCATGTGATGTGTTTGCTAGTGTCTCTTCACTGTGTGGTTCAAGATATTACCAAGAAATCCTTGGTGTGGGTGGCTGTCTGGGAGCGCGAGATTCTGTATATTCCTCCTCTTTGATGTAATGTACTTCTGTTTTCAGGTTCATATAACACTAGGGACCAAAGAAGCATACATGCCATTTCCGTGGTGCTGGGACCAACCTTCTGAAAGAAGACTCTAAAATAACTTTTTGCCTTCTAATTGTTTGTCCTGGGACTGACTTGTCTTTGGAGAAGAGCTCAACAGAGAAAAGATTTTCACGTTTCACCATTATAAATAAGCCTATTTAAAGAACTTGCTACCTGGAGACAGATTTACAGAGGTTGCGTCCTGCTTTTCATCTGTGTTCCTACTTCAGACTGTAAACAATGAGTGAATTTTGGTTGTGTTTCAACTGCTGTATTGCAGAACAGCCTCAGCCTGTAAGTATGAATATTGAATATTGCTTTGTTTTTGCATAATTAACTACATCCTTCACATTTTCTGGGTTTTTATAGCTTTATAAATTAGTGCTGTTTGGCCAAGCTCAGTGAGAACTAAGAAATTAACTATCATCCTGGCTCACTAGGAACAAAAATACGTCTGTTCTAGACTGTTGTCACACAGATATTTTCCTGTCCTGGAGATGGAATGTTTCCACAGTCTTTTCAAAGAGCCTTTATTTGTTTGAATTGAAGAGAAGGGGAAAGGAAGGGAAGGGTGAGGAGGACTTAAACTGTCATTCTAAAATAAGTCATTTGTGAGTGGAAATCTGTGAATGTCTTGACTTCTATATGGCTTAAGGCCTGCCTTTGGGTGTGGCTGAACAATGATGGAGGAATGAAATAATTCTGTTAAAAAGTCCAGAGTGAAATCTAGTCCCTTCCACATTAATTTAATTACGGATTTTGGCCTTATTTGTTTTGTTAATTTTTAGGTGAAACCTCAGGTGAGTGGAGGGATGCACTCATAAATACTTTTTCTTTTAAAATAGAATTCTTAATTGCTGTTGTGTGAAAAAGTATATCGCAAACAGTTGGATAAAATAAGATTTCAAAGCATGCATAAGGAAGGCAAAGTAGAGAGATATTCTTGGGTTTCTTATACTCCAAGTACCTTTGGAGTGTGTTCCTAAGTCCAGTGCTGTTGGGAGAAAGCCTGCCTGCCTGAAGGTGGAATTAACCAGGAATATGTTTAGCAGTGTAACAAAAATCACTGTATGGTGGCATCCAGCTCAAGCTAAATGGATGTATAGAAAGGACAGCCATCTTGCCAGTACGTGGAAAAGAGCCCAGTTACTACTAAGGGTAAGCTGGAATTACAGTGACTGAGAGAATCCCAGAGTGAATAGAGCAAACTCATGTTAATAGCTCAGATGATAATATTTGGCTTCAGGGAAGCCACAGGATTTGAAAAAAAAATAATGTTCAGTGTTGTTGCACAAAGCCTGAATGCCAGACTGATCCTTGGGTAGCAATGCAAATATTGAAGTGTGACCATTAGTTTCTCACAAATGAATGCAACTTTACCTCGCTCTTAGTCAAAAGAGTTGTGGGAGATGAACTCTGAGATAGTAACATTGGAAGCTGCAGTTATGCTTGGATACCATGCAGTCCTTTAAAATGCTAGCTGTGTCCATATATAGTCAAAGTTATTTGCTTAGTTTTTAGAACATACATTTTGATTTAAAATAAGGTATGACTGTTAAAAATCTTTGAGATAGATAGTGGCATATTGTTTGTTTACGAGTCCTGAGGCTCAGTCCTTATAAAATCTTGACTCAGTATTTATGATACAATTAAGTTATTACCCAAGAAATACATGATATATTAATATAGTATGTAGTGACCTGTGGGTCATGACTCACGGAAAGGGTGGAGAATGTACTTCGAAAGTGGAAAAAGGGGCAACAACCCATTTTTGTGTGTTTCTGTTGATTTAGTTGTGTGCATTTGCTTAGAAAATTAAAACTATCCTTTTGTTTAAGATACAAATAGCACATTGCTGAGCATTGACCTAGTTCCTGAAATCTGCCTGTCATATGTTTTAGGAGCCTTGTTTTTTATGAAGTGACAATATTCTTCAGGACACATCTCAGAAAAAAATAGTTGTAAGCCCACCTTGGCATGCTTGCCAATAGGTGCTTAGTTGTCCTTCCACTGCAGTTACTCAGCTCATTTTGCTGTGTTGTGTTGTACAGCTGTTGTTCTGACGTGCTTTGTTGCAGTAAGTGGAGTATTTAGTCAGATACGTATACACCTGAATAAGCACAGGAATGTTTTTCCTATCTGATATGAAGCACAGCATGTACTGTCAGTGTGAGCAAACTGATAAACCAGACAAGTGGTAAGGAAGCAGTTTTTCCCTGTGTCTGCAGATGTGTGATTGCATGTTTAGGGGAGATACATGCTGAAAAACTTGCTAGTTTTTAGCCCCAAAATACTGATACTTATTGCCCTGTTGTATCAAAAGATAAGTGAAACCTGCGAACTTGTATAAAAGCTACTTATCTGTCCTTTACCGTGCATTCAGTCTCAGTTTAGTCCACTTTCTCAGGAGCAATGCCACATCTGCCTGGTTTCATCTTTTTTGTTGTGCCTTCTTTCATTTTACCTCCTGCATCTCAACTTCTTCATGGCCTGAATAACAGTGTCCCAGCTGTCACTTTCATGTTCAGCCTTTGCATGTTCAGCGTGCTCCTTCTGTGGAAGGACTAATGTGGTCTTGTAGCAAGACTACCAACCACCAGCCTCTCAGAATAAAGACCTTGAAACCAGGAAGTTACTTAGTTTGCTACTTGTTCTGATCAATGTTAAAAATGTTCCCCTTGTTTTTAAACTTGCATTCTCTGAAGCATAATTTTTTTTCTCATAATCTTTATCAGGTGCTGATATCTGGGGCACCTGTAGTCTCGTGGATAGTGACATACATTTTAACCCTCTTCACTGGAGGAAAAAAAAGAACTGGAACTTCTAGTAGTTGCATGTTTCTGTGATATTTATAGCTTCCATTGAGCTAAGGGGTTTTCCTCCTATCTTTAAATCCAGGATGCAGAAACTGTCTCTGTTGCTTCTGAGAAAATTCTAGCATATTAAATTAGGAATCTTCAGTGTGGCATCTCTCTTCTTTGCTGCTATATTACACTTAAAATGTGTACACGCACTGAGTCCTTTTAGTCAATTTTATAGAAGACTATTATTCAGACTGTACAGAAAGGTATTTTCTAGGTTACTACCAATACTCTGTATGCTTTCCAGATTTGCATACTGGTGCTTTCCAGTGCATTTTTATGTTTTTGAACGGTGTTTTTTAGATAAGATTTGCAAACTTTGTGGCAATAAGAACACGTTACTTACCTAATTTCACTGCCATCACTTCCCTCATAGCATACCCCAGAGAAGAACAGTAGCAATGCTGCAGTTTATATTAGTGCACTTTAAGAGGTTCCTTCATTAAAAGGTAGCATTCAGGTATTACCGTCATCTTTTATTGAATCTAATATGGCACAGCTTTTTGTGTTTTGTCAGTGCTAAATGGATGCACCATGTTGCTGTGAAATAAAACACAGGCAACTTGGAAAGCCATGTTCTACCCTCTCTCCTAATGTTACTTTGGTTGCTAAATATTTCTCTTGGTGTTTCCAATACTGCAGTACTCCTAATAACATCATGGAAGGGGCATGTTTAAACATGGGTCTCTACGCTTCTCCGAAAAGAGTGATAAATGAAGAAATGAGTATGCAAAGAAACAAAACTAAATAGTGGTACAGTTGAAGGAAGTAGTATGTTCCTGATGGTGGCTTAGGTCTTGCTTCTTAATAGCCTGAGGTCTTTACCCTACTAGAATGCAGACAAAAGCCAAGGGAAGGTGTTCTTATATCAACTTCTAGTTTTCTCTTGTCAGATTTGGATTGATAATATATTTTCCCACAGTGAAGAATTCAGACGACTAGTTGCTTTCATATAGTTTTTTGTGATATCAAGGAGGTGATAACTATGTTCAGGTTTTCTTGGTTGTTTAAATAGCCTGAATTCAATCTCTTATGATCTGACCCAAACCTTTTCTTACTTGGAGAAGATTAGCACTTTTTGTGATTGCACCAGTTTTCTTGCACCTCCCACTGATACCCTTTATAGAGTAAGCTGTAAGCTCATTTTGCACTTCCCAGTGACAAAATGAGCCCTTCTTCTCATGCTTCCTGTGTGCTATCATCCCATCCACTGCTGTGTTTCAGTAAACTCTGCCAAATGCCCCCTACCAGATGTGCTGGTTGGTAGCAGAAGTTTAGAGAGCATTTTATCTTGCAGGCTTTCAGATAACACGTCTATAGCTTCTTTCCTAGGCTGAGCTCATCGCCTGCACCAGGAATATGTTATTTTCCTCCACTTTTTTTTCTCTCGTGTTCTGTCCATTTTTAACTTGCAAGGTTCATTTTTGGTCTGAGAAGCCTTTGGTCATGATCTGGTGCACTCCCACCTGGTTTGGGCTGCTGTCCAGTACAGCTGAGCTCTTTCTTTTGCCCTTGCAGTAAAATTACTGCTCTGCTATAAAAGAATAAACTGTACTCTCCTCCTTCTTGCTCTGAGCTTCCTTCTCCAGTTAATTAGTTTCTGTTTTGTTTCTTGTCTCTTGTTCAGATATTTCCATTTTGTATTTTGTCGGAGGGCTATTACAGTTTTGCTGCATGCTGTGCCATAAATGTTTAAAGTGGTTTAGAAAGTGAAGTTTCCTTCATGTCTTCTTTGAGATATGAAGGAAGATTGACAGATCTGTATTTGGAGTGGGGAGGCCCACCTTAAAAATGCAGGCAGAAAAAAAAAACCTGCACATGCTGCTGTATTTATCAACTGAACTGGATGCTACAGAAGACATGGAGTTATAGAATAGTTTAGGTTGGAAGGGACCTTGAAGATCTTGACCCTGGTTACTTAAGGAAATTAACCACTGATGGGTATTGTCAGCTCTAGCTTTTTTTCTAGAGAAGGAGTCATAGATATAGCTAAGGGTACATCTACCACTGAACTCTCAAAACTTTAAGATGATGAAGCATCCAGTATGCATAACAAATGCAGAGAAGATCACCCTCAGTAGGCATGCACAGTAAGTCAGGTGTTAGCTACTGAAGAAGTACTGGGCCAGGCTCCCCATTAAGTACAGCAGTGCCGTGCAAGCGCAGCTTCTGGTTTGAAATGGCTAAAACTCAAGCTTGTTCATTAATTTTGATCAGCCTACCACATTCAGCAAGCCTATGAAAGACTCAAAGGTGACAACTCTAGAGAGCCCTCAGATTTCAGAGTTGTCAAAGTTACATATTGAGCTGCCAGTTCAGAAGTTTCAAATTCTGTTTTTGCTATTCAGTGCTGTTGCACCAGTAGCCTGCGGGAACACCTTATCAAAGGGGGCAGAGTTAAATAAGCAGCAAAATGCTTAGCTTTTATTTCTC